TGTTTCTTTTTTTCTCTATATATATATATATGTGTGTGTGTGGGGGATGTCTGTACAACTTCTTTAGTTTTTTGTATTCATTAGATTCAAGATCAAACAATACAATTCTTTATGGGTTAAAGAATTGTTATTTAAGTTTTAAGTTCTAGGTGTTTTTTTAATTCACTTTCGTTTGTTAAAAGTGCTTATTGATCCGTAAATTCTAATGAACAAGACAATACCTGAAGAGAAAATACAATGTCTATCCTGGTTTATAAAGACCGAAAGGAAAACCCAGGCCCAGCGCAGTTACTGTACAAAGTGTGAAGAAAAAAAAAAAAAAAACTCCACGAAGATGTGTTAAAATCTGTGCACACAGTTTATGTAAACAGGAAACGTCTTGTAGGAAACAGAAATAAACCGACATCTTGATGTGTTGCGTGCAACCAATGGAGCCTACGTGAAAGGCTTCTGATTCGTTTAAATAAAATTACTTGTTTACGTACATTTTCACGTGTTTATTTTTTAATGGATAGTTATGGACACACACATAATATATATATATATATATATATATATATATATATATATATATATATATATATATATATATACACACACTGCGTGCCAAATTATTATCGAGATAAATTTTTTAATATTTCAAAAACCATTGGCAACACTGACCTGCACAATCACTGCAATACTGCGTACTAATCTGCGCAATGTAAACAAACTGGCGCCATATTTGTTATCAGCATGTTGATTTGAGCGTGCCAAATTATTATAAAAGTGTAAGAATTTAGTGAAAAGATGGGCCATAAAAGCAGTTTAAGTGATGCTGAAAAGAAAACTATAACCTCAGAATTCTCAAAAGGTAAATCTACCCTAGAAATTTCTAAAATGATAGGTAGGTGTCATCAAACAATGAAAAAGTTCACCGCAGACCCTACCCAAGTACGCAAAAGGGCAGATAAAGGCAAGCCAAGGGTTATTTCACGTCGTCTCATGTCACAACTTAAATGAGAGGCCACGAAGAACCCTGGACTCACCAGTCAAGAGCTTTTCAATCGCATTGGGGATCCTACTGTGTCTAAAAGTACTCGGTGTCGGTATCTGAGGGAAATAGCAACAACAGTCAAACCTGTATCGAAGCCTCCGTTGACGAGAAATCACATTCAAAATCGATTGAAATGAGCTGATGACATTATGAAGATTGACTTCTCTAAAGTTTTGTTCACAGACGAAACTCGAGCAACACTTGATGGGCCAGATAGATGGTGCAAAGGCTGGGCAATGAACGGACAGAATCGCTATCAGCGTTTGAGACGCCAACAAGGCGGTGGAGGCATAATGATCTGGGGTGGTATTATTGGAAAAACATTAGTGGGCCCATGGAGAGTACCAGATGGCGTCAAAATGACTGCTGATGCATACATAGCGTTTATAAAGGAGCATCTTGTATCGTGGATGAAAAGGCAAAGAGTTGCCTTCAGAAGGGCCATTGTTTTTATGCAAGATAATGCTCCCTCACACGCTGCTCACAAGACTACTGAATATTTGAAACAGTTAGGCTTCGATGGAGCTCGACAAATGAAGTGGCCAGCAAATTCTCCGGATTTGAACCCAATCAAAAACCTTTGGAACATCATAAAGCGAAGACTGTACATCAACGGACGACAATTCAGAAGCAACGCTGAGTTATGGGAAGCAATTCTTGACATATCTCGCGGCATTACAGCATATGACATCCTACAATTAACAAATTCTATGGATCGTCGACTTCTTCAAGTAATTTCAAAACAGGGAAAGCACATTCCCTATTAATTTGTTTAAAAATCTGCTTCGTTTGTATCTGTTATTTGTTTGATTATCTTATTAGCTTCTTTTCATCATAAACATTCACGTGCAACATTAATAAACGTTTTGTTTGCTCAATTTTTACTGGGAATTTTACTAATCCTTTCTAATAATTTGGCACGCTCAAATCACCGTGCTGATAACAAATATGGCGCCAGTTTGTTTACATTGCGCAGATCAGAACGATCAGTGATCTCGCAGGTCAATGTTGCCAACATTGTGTGAAAATTTTGTATGAATTGATTGGACGGTTTTTGAAATATTAGAAAAAAGTTATCTTGATAATAATTTGGCATTTGGCAATTTGGTGTATATAATCAATTACAGACGATCCTTTAAAATCTATTTGGTTCTAATTTATTTTATGAATACAAAAATATTCATCTCATCAGACGGAACCAAAGTTTTCTTTTTTTTTGTTTTTTTTTAAATATTCGGTTCAATCTGAGGAGATGAATATTTTTGTATTCATGAAATAAATTAGAACCAAATGGATTTTTTTAAGGATTGTCTGTAATTATGATTATTATATTGCTCTGTTTATTACATTGAGCTCCCTTTGGATTCATGTATTCCTTGCAATTATCCTTCCCAATTATCAACGGATAATGTGTGTGTATATTATATATATATATATATATATATATATATATATAAATCATTATTACACTCCAATCAAGGCGAAAATGTGACTAAGACACAAGGAGTTATTGGAAGGGAAAGAGAAGATGATTTTTGTGTAGAGCAAGGACAATAAAAGAACAGGTTTCTGGAGGACAGAAGATGGCAACTGGCGTTGCATTTCAAATTTTGAAGTTCGTAGTTGGCAAGGAAGCCAGAAATCGGAAGTCGAGAAAAGAAACTATTAGAATAGTACTTCCGGTTGCATCTATCTAGTTCAACAATATAACGATGAGACCTAATAGTCAATGTAGTATTACAGTTAAATTCATGCATCCCGGGTCTCAAGAATGAAAGCTAAGCAGAACAATTGCCATCAAAATATTTATAGAAAAGACATCGCGGAGGCGGGAAAGTGACTAAAGACGAAATGTCAGGACCGTTAACATTACAGACCCTTTCGAATTTTTCAAGAATCAAGTGATATATAATTGCAGCACAAGGCCCAATATGGCAGCAATATTCAATACACGGACGAAAGGATGATTCTGACGAGAAAGAACGAATTTTCATATGTTCAATATAATCATCCCATGTCAGTGCAAAACGTAAGTCAAAGGATCAAAGATTTGTTCTAGTGGAGGTTAGCATCAGCCATGCTGTTTCCGAAGCGTTCAAATTTACAAGCCATTCCTTGCACCAGTTAACCGCTGATTGGATATCCTTTTCGAGATCAGCTGCCAATTTGTCGAACCTACATAAAAATTATAATTCAACGAATGCCCAAGAAAACAAAATTTCTTCCAATTGCTCGAAAGTTAGAACAATGCAGAAATTATTGACGGTCAGTTTCGTGACTTCTGACCGGTCAGGACGAATAATGATTGTGTTGATTCCATAATGTTTATTTTATATGTTTTATATACAGTGCTGTTCAAAAGTTTGTAAACCCCGCCTATACATGGTCATTGGTACAGTGAAAAAAATTGAAATAAGTCTATTCAATGTGCATTCAAACAGCCATTTTGGTGTTACCAATCGAGTGGTTTGCTTCCAAAGGATCATGGACTACTTTATTAAAGTGCAACTCTCTGGAACATATTCCCACCTAGATAATATTACAATTTGTGACATGACTCGTGAGGAACATGATTTTAACCATAACAGATTCCTTATAGTTGAAAAAGAAGAACAAATGATAATGAAGTGAAATGTACGTTTTCAATAAAAAAAAGTCTTTTGGTATTCTTGGTTATGTTGGAGGGGGAGAAGACAAATATCCAAACCCGATATGTCTTCGTCACCTTATGTGAAATTCCATTTCCTGATGAAAAAAAAAAAATATTACTCTACCGAATTTTAAGGCTCTTTGCTTACCATTCTCAATTGATATACAGCGTGCGATGGATAAATCGTCTAAATGACGCGAAAATGAAAATAACACTGACATCTCATTTTAAACGATATATTTATCAAAATGACACAAAAATGTCTTGAAATACTAAATATATCCAATAAAATCGCCATTGGCTTCAACCACAACCTCCAGACGGCTTCGGAATCTCCTGTAACTCTTCCGGGCGGTTTCCTTGTTTAAGTTGGTGAATGCTACTATAATCCTTGTTCTTTTCTTATCAGATCGAGTGTTTCGAACTGCTGTACCTCGTAATCACCATTGGGCTCATCCAACTCTTTATATCTTTTGCACACCCCTCAGGTTGACACGAAAACACTAAAATATTCGTATTGGAGCTTCCAGTATAAATGCCAAGCAACACAGCATGCCGTTTCCAAATTTCTGGTGTAGTGAATTGTGTCATGATACTGTTTTTCTCGCAGACGTTGCCCAACTGACCCTACTATAGTGTGGAGTCGATAAAATCAAAAACAAACGTGCCTTCACGAAATTAAAAATATAAAGTGGCGACAATTTACTCGTCATACCATGTACAGAATCAGCGTTGTATACCCTTAAAGGAGTTAAAAATGCAGTACTTCAGGCGATCGACGAGTACCTACCATTTGAAGTCGAAAAGGATGAATCTGTATTTGCTATAGCAGTAGTTCTATCTCGGTTTGGATGCCCAATAGACTTCTCCCTATTTCAAAGTAACACTATCCTACATCCTCTGGAAGTCCTATCCAAGAACTGTACTGGAACTTGGAGTATGGTAAAACAGCTAGACACACAACCTGATAATCCCGGCCGTCAACACTAAATTATATATTATAAAATATATATTATGTAATCAATACAATCGTTATCCTGTCCAGTCAGAAATCACGAAACTCCGTGTCGACATCCGATAACTGAAATTGATTATTTCTGTATTGTTCTTTCCAACTTTCGAGTAATTTATTGGAAGAAATTTGGTTCTCTTGGATATTCGTTGAATTAGAATTTTTACGTAGGTTCAACAAACTGACAAGGAAAAAGACCTCCCATCAGTGGTTAACTGGAAGGAAGGTATGATTTGTAATTGGAACGATTCCAAGATTAACAATTCTGAGCCATTTTCTTTTAGACTACCGCACATCAAAGCTTACAAAACCGGTTATTACCGAGCGCTCACTCGTCTAGTTACTGACCAGACTCAAGGTTGCTTAACTTTAGTGATCGTACAGGAACAGGTGTTTCAACGTGATATGGCCGGAAGGACTGAATATATGAATAGAAAAGTTTCTATATCAAATTTATGAGTTTAAAAGGTTCTTTGAAGCTACGTGTGTGTGTGTGTGTGGGAGGGGTACTATATATATAAGAACTTATAAACAAATGTCTTGAATATATATATATTATAATAAAGAGGCAGAACACCGGTGTTCTTATTGATATTTTTATTTTTTACAAAAGTGCTCAATATAAATATTATAAATTAACTGATTTAAAATATGGTTTATTCGCTACAAGGAAATTACCATGTTTCAAAATACGAAGCTAAAAACTTCAAATTTAATTATATAATTAAATTAAAACCTTAGTTCTGTTTCATCTTGAAGTGAATTTTGGAATAAAATTTTTAAATTTACTGAATTTTAAACTCGCATACAATTCATTATTTTTTGTTTCCAAGGATACAGAGAAATCCCATCGTTTGAAATATATTGGTCACTGTTTTTATGTGCGTGCAACAGGAAATTGATTTCTACTAGTGTCACCGACAGAGACTTCTACGACCAGAGTTGAAACAATCGTGTTTCGTCTTGGTGTTAAAATTCACTAAAGAAAAGATTGCTGTCTGCTTTCTTTTATCTCCCTCGAGTGATCAGAGCACAGTTTTTTTTTTGTTTTCGGCTGGAATACACATGATTGGTTCGAATTATTAAAACCGAATGTTGAAATGTTTGTGTTGTAAAACGGAACTCTTGCGTGAAGGCTTCTGCGCAAATCTTGTTTTTACTCACTTCTAACAGTCAGATTGTCTACATCAGGAAGAATTTTTTTTTCTCTTGGATATTCATTGAAGAATTTTTACGTAGGTTCGACAAACTGGGCGCTGGTCTCGAAATAGAACTTCAATTAGTGATTAACGGGTGCAAAATATTTGACTGTCCACCAAATAAAATTAAGATGTCTGAACAGAAAGAATGGTAGACAGTAGGAAAACAGCTCAACAAATAATGGACAACCAAAAATAAAACTGGATGAATGAAACTTAAAACTGCCACTGTCAATAAGGCCAGCCACCTCTATTTCTTTGACAAATATTTTTTACTACTGCTATACTTAGGAAACCCGGAGCAGCCGCCCAAATCGACACGGTCAATGTTGCTTGATGTGTGAGAATTTGTCAGAAGCATACACAAAAAAAAAAAAAAAAAAAAAAACTAAAAGTCCATTGGACTTTTAGGCAAATCAATTCCACAATTATCTGTTCCTCAATCTCAAGTATGCAACTCCTCCTCAGAAACCAGATTCTCATTTGAATGAGCGTACCGTGCTTTTATGCACCTGATCCAGCCATAGCTCAGCCAATGAGCATCCAGAACCGGTCAATGAAAATGGCTACATGTGTCCCTTTTTTCCGACATCGATGACCAGTGCTGGGCGTTTCGGATGTGAATGACGTGAAAAAAAAAAAATAAATAAATAAATAAAAACAACAATTGCTTCAGTCGTCGCAGGAACAGGCACTTTGGTAATATTTTCATTAATAATCTGATCAAGTATTGCGGCATTTACTTCCCGATCAAATTGTACAAACTTCCTTTGAGCCAAATAAATTGGTATATTAAATTGTTTTGTAAGCAATTTCCATTTAAGGGGCATCCGTGCTTTGCTATGCAGGTGGGCTTGATTTATGCGGGTGGTTTTTTGGATATTTGTCTGTTGTGCTCTTTATTATTTGTGTCATGTTCTCGGCGCAACTATAGCTGATTTTGACTGTATTTCTGTTGAATATCTCGTGGAGAGTGCTAAAGGCGGGAGTCGAATTTAATGAATATTTATCCTGCGTATATGGGTTAAACGATATCTTTCTTTTCATACCGTTTTTGTTGTTGTTGTTGTTGTTTTCCTGTGTGGTGTGTATGAGAGTGTTGCCGGGATTCCACTATCTTTTAGATCTGTTTCTTAATCTTTATTTGACTTCGTTGAAAATGGTTTCATTAGAAGAATCACCAGATAACAAGCGCTTAATTGATTGCGAGATATGCCTGATTATTGTTGGCGTGTGGTTGGAAGATGTGTGCATATAAATTAGTTTGTCGTTGAGTTTTCTATATTTATCTTTTCTGGGATTGAAGAGGTCTACTTATTTTAGGTTTGTTTTTATGTCTAAATCAAATCTTTTTTTTTTAAATTTTAGGATTATTGTCTTATTTATGGTACCAATTACGTCAATTTTCAGCAACATTCCCTCACTTACCACAGATATAAATCAATAGAAAAAGAAATATCATATGGTTTAACCCAACATACAAGACGTAACATAGGAAAATATTTATTAAACTCATACACAAACTCCTCACATCAAGCACTGTCCACAAGATATTTAACAGAAACACAATAAAAATCATCAAAGAACTTGATAACAAATCGTT